CCGCCTCCGAACTTCTTCTTCTCGCTGCCTCACGACATTTTTCAACATGCTAATCTCACGCTGATTTTCCTCCAACATTCCCACCGCTTTGACCAACTTCTCCTGAAGCAGATTGATCATGACATTAGGATCGTTGGAAACGTTGGTGGGCGGAATGAGCATTTCCGCGTAGGAGCCACTATCATTATTGTCCTTCGAAGCCTCGGGTGCGAGTCCACCGAGGGTACCCGACGATGAATTGCTAGCGCTATTAGTATTCCACGCCCAATTTGAATCGACGGATTGTCGGTCCTGTTGTGGTGACTGTTGCTTTTGCTGGCGTTTACTCTGAATTCTAAAACTGTCAAAATGCCCGGAGGCTAAAGTGTCACCACTTTGTTTCCGTCTTGACGATGACGAAGAGGAATTACTGTTACTGCTATTGCTGCTGTTATTGTTATTATTGTTGCTTCCCTTCTGGGTCTGAGGGGCTGTGGCAGCGGCGGTGACCGATAGGAACGACTGAGAGTTCGGCACATCACCCGCTTGTGCAGAAGTGGGACCCCCGCCCACAGCGATACTTCTCCATCGCAGCTGCGGCGTGCCGGGACTGCCAGCTGCACTAGGACTGGGAACCATACGGAGATTTCCGGTCTCGCCGGCGCCACCTGAGGGATTGTAATTAAGTTTTATGTCAGGCATGGTGGTAGGCGAAGGATTGGGTGTAGGAATGTTATGAGTGATGATATGTTTCGGTTTACCAAGTTTGGGTATGTTCTCTCGCGTGGAGGCGAACTGTCGTGAGCAAAAAAAGGGAAACGTGAATATTTGAGCCTTCACCAAAGTTTGACGTTTTGTTTCCCGCGCACGCACCCCCTCAACAACCCTCGCCCGATGACACATACCTGAACATGGGTGACGTTCTTTTTACGCAACGATCCTGCCTTTTTTCCATCCACGTTCTTTGATGAAGATGCGGTTGGATTGTCAATGTGCATGACGTCTTCGACGTCTTCCCAAGCATCTCGATCCTCATCTTCGTCGGGCTCTTCGTCGCTCCTATCCGAATAGGCGACCTCTGATTTGATACGTTTCCCACGATGTTTTTCGGATTTAGCGTCTCCGTCGTCAAGGTCCAAATCGTCGTCCTCCTCATCGTCCTCGTCACCATCATTGACGTTTCCACCGTTGTTGCCAGAATCGGTGCTACCGCTATTATTACGACGCGTGTATTTCCTCTTTTGTCGTTTATTGCTAGCCCGTCTGATCAACTTCAACACCAAATCACTTTCATCCAAATCATCCGCACCGCTGCTGCTTGGCGGTTCGGCGCCAGTGGGATTCTTGTTGGGTTCATCGTAGTACTCGTTGGGCTTCGATAGGATGTAGTCGAAGAATGCGTCGATGTGAATTGAACGCATCCATTTCTGTGTGTGCACGCGAGTAAAGATGGTATCGATTGGTTAGCGGCGGGGCAATAATGTATGAAACCGAAAAAAAAAAAAAAAGAAAGAAAGAAAAAGAAAAACGAGATTTTTTCTAGAATGTCCATTGTGCTAAACTCGTGTAACTTTTTCGTGTAACTATTCCAGAAGAGTGGGCAAAAATACAAGGAGATTTTTCTTTGCCCCTGCATAATTGAAAGAAAAGAGCAACACCTCCTTGGTCGATTTGTGAATAACCTAAAACACGGGGCATGCATACACGTCATAATAATTGTTTTTTTTTTTTTTTTTTTTTTTTTTTTTTCTAAGGTGCCCAATCCTTTACAAAATTTTTTATACGTAATTACTATGGTGGAAGGTTATCCAAAAAAGAATTGAACTGAATGACGAGGAGATGATGGACGAGGAAAAAAAAAAGAAGATGGGAGTAAATCAAGAAAACTCCATCGTGGAATTTACCTTTAGTCTGACGGCGTATTGTTGAATTTTCTGAGGACTTGATTCGTTGGTACGTTCGACGCCCAATTGTTGAGCCAATTTGGTCCAAGTTTTGATTTCGCCCGAGTGGTGCTTGGCAACGAGCTGAAATAGGACCCAGGTTTCGAAGGTTTTACCATCAGATTTCGGTACGGCGTTGAATGAGCGTATCAACGACGAGACATCTAAATCCGAAGGGGCCGAAGGATTGCAATATAAGATGAATTCTAAATAACGATTACCGATGTTCTCGGGAGTGACATCTTTTGGGGGTAGGTTACGCTGAGTGGCGGCGGTCACATCGATCGCAGGGGGGGCGGCGGAGGAAGGCGACGA